ATTATCAATGAGAAAAAAAGCTATGTCTAAATTTTTCGTCTGACAGCCTATAGTAAATATGCTCTAATCAGTCATGGATTCTCTCAACTGCAAGCTGTCATTTACTCCATTACGGACGCATCAAAATGTTTTTCAGGCTATGAAGAAGACGATCTTGATAACTCTTGATTGGCTTGAACAGTCCTGTATTTTCTCTTTATCATCGAGAAAAAACCCCTAGTGAATTTTGATTGGTCGATACGAAAATCTCTTGATCAGTCCATTTTTAGTAGTTTATTTTTCCTCTATTACAAAGAGAAAAGGATAGGTTTGTTCAGGTGAATTAGGGATTAACAACGGTCGTCTTTTACATAACCGAAAAGCAATTTGATGTGTCTGTAATCTGTTAATGAAAATCTTGAAATCAAATGGTATTTCTCTATCGCACTCCGTCGAACTCTAGTTGAAGTGAATGAAGCACTAAGTGAGAAAAACTTAACTCAATTTAAGGTATAGTTATACGCTTCATTTCTGATTCGAAAACTTTCGAGCGACGAATTATAAGTATACTATCAATATTTAAGAGAGCACAAGCAGTTACGCTCATTAGCGTAAGTTGCCGAGCCCTAATCTGTCTCCTTTATCTACATCCTTGATCTATTCACTTTCTGTGTATTCTTAGTCGGCCCCGTGAAAGTATCATCGAAAGCGTCAAAGTTCTTCAGGAAAATGACTTTTAAAAGAAAGAAATAGTCGAGCGCATTGAATTATAGACGATAAGAATTAATACGATTTTTCTCTGTATCTGTTCTCTAAAAAATAGACATTCGGCTAAAAAAGTTGACTCTACCTACAAAACAAACTGTTTTCTTTAGGAAGAGCAGGTTTAGTTTCAAAACAATCCTTTTTTTGAGGACAAAAGGTAGTCTGATAGATTAGAACATGTGCTACCCAAATCAGATAATTGTAAAGAACAAGTGCATTTTTGAGAAATACCTTGCAGTATTTCCATTCTGTAGACATATTTTGTCAGAGTTAGTATAAGTATTTCGGAAACATTTTGTTTACAAACATTGTTGAAAATAAATATCAGTGTATATAATGGGGATGGTTTCTAATAGATAATCGCTTACAAGAAAACGAAAATCACAGCAGTTTCTTAAGCTAATGACAAAGCTACTGTAGATGTGCGTGAAGTTGCCGATAGGAATAAAAGTAAAAACCTATATCCACACCCACATCCTCACGACAAATCGATTTTAAATATGCTACATTTGTCTAATTAAGCTTACTTTTTATTAGTATTCTGACCAGGCCCGGCCTAGATGGGCATCGAAATATAAGTGAGTCTTGATCCCATCTGCAGATATTATCAGGGGCTGAGTCTTATGCTCCCCCCACTCTTTCAATTGTTCTCTAATTATGTGACCACTTTATATGTGCAATGGTATTGGTTTTTCTTCATAAATTTTATCAAAACTTTGCGATAGTTCCACTGATGTAACTATATTTGCTTTTGTTGTTTCATACTGCTCTAAAGGCTCCGTTTTTTGAGTCGAATAACAGTCGGCTACTTTCAATGAATAACTCTTTTTTTCTCATATTGTGATACATGTCGAATTATTGAAATACTGCCAAACATATGTGGTCAAAAATAATCATATATTAACTGTAGGGATTTCATGATGCAGTTCTTTGATACTTAAGACACAAAAAACTTGACATTGAATGTGTTCTGATTTTTCATTTTTTGTATTATTCTGTGTCTTCTTCATATTTGAAATAAGACTTGTGTCACTCATAAAGTAGTGGACATGATTTTAAGACGTCTTTGTTTTTTCTATAACCCAGCCGTATTCAAAGATAACGACCGGATTCTTTCTGCGTTAGAAAGATCTTCATAAGTACTATGTTATCTGGCAAAATTGTCAAGGTCAGGTGTGTTTTGCTTGAGTTATAGCGAAAATAATTTTTTTCCAGCGGATACAGTTTTAAGACATTTTTAGTTTTTGGCATTTTTTGACCAAGTGATTTTACTGAAGATAACTGAAGCAGATACCATTCGATGCAGTGTTGTACCCCCTACATTTCGATAATAAAATTTCAATCCACGATCGATTCATCTTTTTGAAATATAGTGTTTATTACTCGCGCGTGCTAATGATATTTCAAAATGGAAAGTGCAAGTAATCTCAATATCAACTAGTGCATAAAATAGAGGATTAAGAACTGAACAAAATCATGTAATTTTCATGAAAAGAATCTCTGTTTGCAAGTGAATTTTGAAGAGTTTTCCCATTTGATGACTCATCGAATCTCGCATTAAGGTTTTTTCTGCAGAAAAATGAATTTAAAATTATCGGTTCATATCAGTTTTTTAGAAAATTCAATTCAGTACAAAATGAGACCTTTCGTACTTCTCTACCATGCCTAAAAACATTGTTCTCTTCCATATACTTTTAGTACGAAAAAGTCAACTGCGATCAATAGATTAGCTAAACGCGCCATCTATTGTACTCATCGTATTTTGTTTACATTTTTGTATTAAAAGTATATGAAAGAGAACAATTTTGTTAAGCATCATGGAGAAGTGCGAAAGATTTCATTTTGTTGAGAATTTAATATTGTACAGTATTGATATGACCCGACAATTTTAAAGTCATTGTTTTGATAGAGAAAAAACTAAATTCGAGAATTGATGAGTCATCAAAAGGGGAAAACTCTTCAAAATTCAGTTTCAAACAGTGGTTTTTTCATGAAACTCACACGATTTTGTTCAGTTTTTGATGCTCTATTCGATGCACTAGTTGGTATTGAGATTAATTGCATTTTCCATCTTGAAATGTCATTAGCATGCTCGAGTAATAAACATTAGATTTGAAAAAGACGAATCGATTGTGGATTGAAACTTGTTGTCGAAATGTAGAGGATAAAATTATGCATCGAATGGTATGTATTTCAACTGGTTTTAGTAAAATCACTTGGTCAGAAAATGCCAAAAACTAAAAATGTTTTAAAACTGTATCCGCTGGGGAAGAATTATTCTCGCTATCATTCAACCAAAACAGCACTGATTTAAGCAATATTTCAGATAACATAGTACTTATGATGATCTTCTTACGCTGAAAGAACCAAGTTTCTATCCATAGAGACAGCTGAGTTATTTCGAAATAGTTATAAAAGTGTTCTTGCTATTGCGAGAAAAAAAATAGTTCTGTATTATTTGAGAAATAAGATTTTAGTTTATCAGATTCTTACGTTCAGGCTGATTATCTAATTCTCAGTAATTACTGTACCACATCTTTATATGTACACCATGGAACAACGGATCGAGCTCATTAATTCATCGATAACAATTATTATTACTGTAAAAAGCATCCCAGATCAAACAAGCATGCTTGTAAACGATCGTAAATCGTTGTATATGGGCGATTTACATGATTCAGCTTTACGAACGCATTTTTTATCCTATCATACGAAGCAACAGTATTATTTAGAAACTTCTCATTCGGAGAACATGCGTAATCAGTTTGTAAACGATCGAGCTTTCTCATATTGCCTACAAAGAAATATCGTTAAGATATTGTTCTATGTCATACACTAAAATACGGTCAGTTACGATGAAATACTCAGTGTATTTTATTGGTTCACAGTGTAAATAGATATAATGTTCCTTATTTTTGGATAGTAGTTATTCACAAATATGAATCCTGCCCAGTAAACACTTCTCAAGTATTAAAATCGATTAAAATTTTAAAATTTGATGGGCCTAATCAGATTTTCAGTTTTGATTATAATCGATTATAATCTTGATTTTGTTTCACAAAAGTTCGATTATTGATTTCGATTATTCCTACAGGATTTTCGGATATTAACAGATCTCTATTGCTCGACTTTTTCTTGGGGTTCTTATTAGTGGTGAAGGCAGGATTTAGGATTGAAGGAGCTCAATCCTCTATGGATCTTTGGTGTCATCTTACAGTTGTCTATGGTTTTGAATCGCTAAAATTTTGTTAGTAAATAGTCTCAGTTCCGATTTCTATGATGTGAAGACTTTTGATCCGAAGAGGGGAACATGGGGAAGAACATTGATCGTCATTCGTTCCCTTCAAAAGTTGTTGATCTCTTGTTAGGCCTTATCCTTGGAAAAAATTCAGGAAAATTCTGATTTTCGTGAAGGTTCCTTTATTAAAAACTGATTATAATGGGACTACATTGATCATGTTTCTAATCAAAACCATGATTAAAAGTAATAACACCTTTTAATGATCCATTTTCATCGTGGTGCGCATAAAACACGTTTTTCTCGAGTCTTAAGGTGAAAATTTAGCCATTCGATCGCATTTTCGGACTGTTCTCCTCGAGAACCAGTAAGTATGATCCTAGATCAACCTTTGACACATATACTATACGTTGAGATTCGATATCGTCCGATATTCAGTTATTAATTAAAAAGAAACGACAACTTAGATTGATATCATTTCGAATGGTTTCAAAAGCAAGTAATTTGATTAAGAATTTGATTAAAACCGATTAAAAACGGTTTTTCTGGAATTCGATTGATTTTGATAATTATTTTGATTAGAAACCCAATTAAAATAATGCCATTTTAATCAATTTTCAATACAAAAAATCGATCAAAATCAGATTTTTGCGGATTGTCTTTACAGAGATACATCTCCTTGGACTATCTGTAATCCTATTGGTTCAGCAGCTGTAAGAAC